TGTGCAGAATATGGCGCAATGTGGAACAATGTGGCGTAATTTGGCGCAATGTAATGTATTGAGGCCCATTTTTGCGCAATATTGGAAAATGTGGCGCAATCTGGCACACATTGGTTTAATGTAGCAGAATATGGAATATTGCGGCTTAATTTGGCGCAATGTGGCGCAATGTTGCACAATGTGGAATAATGTGCGCAATGTGGATGAATGTGGCGCACTGTGGCACAGTGTGGCGCACTGTGGCACAGTGTGGCGCACTGTGGCACAGTGTGGCGCACTGTGGCACAGTGTGGCGCAATGTGGCACAATGTGGCACAGTTTGGTGTAACGTTGCATAATGTAGCGCATTGTGCCACAATATGGCGCAATGTGGCACAATGTGGCGCAATATGGCGCAATGGGGCGCAATGTAGCACAATGTGGCGTAATGTGGCGCAATTTGGCAGGATGTGCCGCAATATGGCACAATAAGGCACAATCTGGCGATATATGGCACAATATAGTACAATGTGGCGAAATATTGCGCAATGAGGTGCAATGTGCCACATTGTGGGACAATGTGCCACAATGTGGCGATATGGAGCACGGTGTTGCGCAATGTTGCACAATCTGGCGCAATGTGGCGCAATGTGGGACAATGTGGCGTGATGTGGGAAAATGTGGCGCAATGTGGCACAATGTGCAGAATAGTTCGTATAGTTTGATCGTCCGGGTGAGTGTAGTGCTGAAAAGAACTGTTGTTAATTGGTGACTGACGTTTCGACAACCTGAGCGGAAGTCATCTTCAGAGTCATCTTCAGAGTCAGAGTTATCACACTATAGGAAGTACTGATACTCCTGGGTTCAAACCATTTACAATGTGCACAATGTAGCGCAATGTTGCTCAATGTTGTGAAATGTGAGACAATGTGGTGCAATGTGACGCAATGTGGCACAATGGGTCGCAATGTGGTGCAACGTGGCGTAATGTGTCAGAATGAGGCGCAACGTCGCGCAATGCTTCGCAATGTGGCGCAATCTGGCACAATCTGGCACAATGTGGCGCAATGCTACTCAATGTGGCGAAATGTAGCACAATGTGGCGCAATGGGTCGCAATGTGTATAATGTGGCGCAATCTGGCACAATGAGGCGCAATGTTGCTTAATATGGCGCAATGTGGCGCAATGTGGTGCAATGTGGCGCAATGGGGCGCAATATGGCGCAATGTGAAACAATGTGGTACAATGTGGCGCAATGTTGGACATTGTGGCCCAATGTGGCACTAGGAGGCGAAATGTGGCGCAATGTGGTGCAATGTGTTACAATATGGCGCAATGTGGTACAATGTGGCATAATGTGGCTAAATGTACACCATGTGGCACATTGTGGCCCATTGTGGGGTAGTCTGGCTTATTGCGGCGCAATATGGCACAATGTGGCGTAATTTGGCTTAATGTAACACAGTGTAGCTAATGTTGCAAAATTGGGCACATTGTGCGACAATGTGCTGCAATCTGGCACATTTTGGCACGATTAGTCTCACTGTGGGATCATGTGGCGCAAAGTGGCACAATGTGGCACATTGTAGCACAATTTGGCGCAATGTAAAGCAATATGCACAATGTGGCAGAAAGTTGCAGAATGTGTCACAATGTAGAACAATGTGGCACATTGAGGCACATTCTGGCACAACGTGGCGTAATATGGCACAATGTTCCACATTGCGAGACAAGGTGGCGCCTTGTGGCACAATGTGGAAAAATATGGTGCAATGTGCCCTAATATGGCACAATGTCGCACAATGTGGCACATTTTGTCACAATTTGGCGCAATTTGACACAATGTGCTGCAATTTGGTACGATTTGGCGCAATGTCCGGCAATATGGCACAACGTCGTACAATGTGGCGCAATGTGGCACAATGTGGCACAATGTTGTGTATTGTGGCACGATGTGGAACAATATGGCACAACTCGGCACAATGTGACACAATGTGGCGCAATGTGGGACAATGTTGCACAATGTGGGGCAACGTGGCACAATTCGGCACAATGTGGCACAATGTGGCGCAATGTGGCACAGTGTGGCACAATGTGGCACAATGTTTAATGTACAATATCCCCACAAAATCCACCAAGCTACTGCAGTAAACGTCATTAGACGAGAAAATTTACACTTCGTTGCAAGATGGCGGCCACATTAGACTATCATGGTTGTTTTTTTGGACTTCATCCTCTTTTTAACCCGTAAAAGAGATGGGATTTTTATACTGACAGATGAAGTTTCAGGCGACAGTAGACTGCTTTGGTGTAAAGAAAAAAAAAACTAGCAAGGTACGAGGAAAAACACTATGAGCTCTGAAATGTTGGCCTTCGTCTCAGGATGGGGGCCATAGCAGACTACAACTGCCGATGTTTGACATCATTCTGTTTTTTACCCGTTGAAGAGATAATATTCTACCATCGAGAGATGAAGTTTTACGTCACAATCTTATATCTTGATATCCACACAAAAACTACCAAGCTACTGCATAAAAAGTTATAAGAGCAGAAAATTTACACTTCTAAGACAGTAAGGTGACCATTGAAATACTAGAGCCCAGGCTATTCACGACAACTAGACTCCCAATCCAGGACTGGACTTGTTACTCACAAATGACAGATCTGTATAAAGAATATCTAAAAATCAGGAAACCAAAAACAAATCGTTTTAACGGTCCTCTTGCTTTAATAACATAGCGGTACACATTCTTTAGATGGTTTATCAAATGAACTCGTTTTAAAACAGACCCAAAGACAATGACTACTCTGGTTTTATTGTCTGACGACATAGAATGGAGCATCCGGCAATTCATTGGCAAAGTAAATAGTTAACCCTCTTGAAAGTATCGAAAGCCACCAATTAATCACCTGACCAAACTTTACAAAAAGTGAGTCCTTTTGTGACAAATTTGGGAAATCTATCCAAAGCAAGCTCAATAACGCCAGGAATTCCGCATAAATTCGATTTTATTTTTTTTCTATGAAATTTACATATGCAAAGAAATCAAAAGCTTACGGTGACATTTGGCGCGTGCAAATCGTATTTTTACATTAACTGTCTAATTCCTCGCGCGCTGATTGGCTCATTTTTATCATCAATAGGAGTACAGACGGATAAAATGTTAATTTATGCAAACTTTCAAGTTCAACTCTCAGCTGTCAAACTGTCAATTTTTTAATCAATGAGATTTTATGGACTTTTTTAAGTAGCCAATCAAAAAGTGAGAAAATCTATTGACGATGTTCGCGTCTTTTTGAATAAAATTCACTTATCTTTGTTTACGGCAAGTTTACGGCGTCTTTTCCCCTCGTTTATTCCCGGCATTTAACCATTTTAGGGTCTTGTTATTGTAAAAAACAAATTGACATCAGTTTTTTTGTGCGTCTGTCCTCTTATTGATGATAAATTTCGTCATAACATTGTCAAGTTTACTGCGGAACCACTCGCCTACGTCTCGTGGTTCCACAGCCACTTTGACAATGCTATGACGCAATTTATCATCAATAACAGGACAGACGCATAAAAAACTGACGTCAATTTGTTAATCATACCATTAAATTGTTTATGCTGAAATGAAGGAAAAGCTGATCACACGAAGGAACCTAAATGTATATTATATTGCCCAAATCTACCTCATTGCCGAACTAAAATTGAAATACCAGCATTTACGGTGCAGCTAAACTAACCGGGATCACTTGGACAAAACTGACCAATCAGATAACAGGACACAAACAGTGAATTCCAACTTAAGTCGTTTGAACCAATCAGTGTGGAAGAAACAAAACAAAGTAAAACAACAACAAAGCTCTCGCCTATGACGATTAGTGATTTGTCCACCCCTACAAGGTAATTGGATTTTCAAGAAATTTTCCTCAATTCTGAGACTGTCGCACGAAAAAATCTTTTTACCTGTCTTTGTCAAGATGAAAGTAAAAACGATTGAAGGCAGAACTACTGCCCTAATCGCAGTTAAGATTGTCTTGGGCGCATAGAGCCGTGCATCGACACCCCACGGCTGTATCTCATTTAGGTGGCCGATGTGTTTTTCCGTCGAAGAACCCCATCATGTTTGCTCATTAAATACCGATTACAATCACGGCACTAGTATTCCCTTCCAGGGGTGGGCTGTGGGTGCTCAGCGACGTTTATTCCGGGGAGGCGCCACCTAAGGTCCAAACCCCTAATCTTTTGTAACCCATTTTTTCGTAGAAAATGGCAATCCTCTCACGTAACGCTAAACAATTACAACTGAAAGTGAACCTCCTTTCTAAATATCATACATGGGTAGCCCCTTTCGACGGCTAGCAACAGTTTCCAGCATTTTCCAGTAGTTGAACTTTGACGGATCAATACTTCTACTCTTTACCAAGTGATACTGCAATATACGTAACACATAAACGCCCAATCATTGATGAACAAGTTGCGGTCATCTGCAATGGCATGACGCCAGTGCAATAAACTTTCAACGCGCTCCTTCACGTACGCCATACCCTTCCCTCCACTCCTGTATACTCCATGCCCCATGTTATACACTCAATTCTGAACTCTGAATCCGAATAAGTATCACAGAATTTAATGGACCATTTTGAAGATGCTACGCAGTATCAACAATTTTTCGTATTTTTAATGTAAACAAAAAACCACATCAGTAAATCATGTCGATTTATAGCCTGCGCTGCAGGCGTATTACGGGTCCCACTTCTCCAACCCCCGAACGCCTGTTATGCAGGCTAGCCGATTTAGTAAATATGCGAAAGTTTCATAAGTATCCGTTTCAAACTCATGAAAATATGGGACTCCAAACTTGCCAACTTTTACAAAGAAATGTACATTAGATTTTCCTCGTAAATCGAGCGGTGAGGCTTAATATTTGTTTGAATGAAAACAAACAAACAAATCGGAAAAAGCGTCACATGATCAAAAAGGTCTATTATATCTGATCTGTATCACTCAATTACCTAGCACCAGACACATGTACGCATTGCCAACCTATTTTTATTGTCATATCCTGAGCCAGTTGAATGTCTCCGTAAATTTTAAATTACAAATCTAATAGGCAGAGGCACACCAATTTCATATTCCTACGCAATATAAAATACAGAATCTAAAATAAATTATAAATAATTTATGTTCAGGACTTAAAATACATATTTACATTTTTTTACAGTTTCAATTTTTGGACAAATGAATGAGTTATAAGCAGAATTAATATTTTTTAACTTATTAAGCCCGTGTGTTGAGTGTGTATGCTCCACGCAGGAATGCCTGGACTAAAAACAGCCTATCTGACAGCCATGCAAGCTACCATAGCGGAGGAAGTTGCCGTCCCAGTGCATGCGCTCGAAGGCAGCACTTCCGGTCGAAGGCAACACTTTCGGTTGGACGCACGACCTTCGGTCGAACACACGACTTCCGCCGGACGTCTATTGCTTGTAAGCATGTTTGTGTGGTCCTATAAGGAGAATTCCTAGTTTTTCATTCAGGTTTCACTCGACGTTGGTTAATCCTCTGTGGGTATATTAACATCGACTCCAAACTGTCGGGAAAACTGTCTCAACTGTCGCTCATACAACACATTCCTTTCCACAGATTTCTGATAATTGTACTTCAAGTCTTCAATCTCTTCAAAGAATGCAGGATCAAAGGCTCCGAGTTCCTTTCGTAACTGCAATAAATGGTAAAAAACAATTCCTACGTCAAGACATACACTACTAAAACGCGTTTAAATGGAAGACTATTACTGGTGGGGAGGGTGTGTAAAGGAACGGGCCTCCTTCACCCCCTCCCATTTTCCCGCTTCTTTTCGCGTCCCTTTCACCCAAAGTAATTAAACCAGAGCTTCATAAAAAAAGAAACATGTGGATCAAAGTATAATCGACGCAACACTTGGCTGCATGGGACACTTTGCTCCGCCCCGCCCTGTATAATGGCGTACTGTATGATCTTTTCCTAATTTTCTCGTGCGCAGTCAATGCTTCCAGCTATAAACTGATTCTTCCAATGTAAAAAAATATCACGACTCTCTCAAGAAAGGTGTACCTTTGTGACTTCGTGTGACATTCTATCCCGCTCTAGTTCCACAGTTTTTAACCTTGTTCTACAAGAAAAATCCAAATAGACATTAGTAAACCCAAGAAACAAAGTAGAAGCAAACAGTGTTGGAGAAAAAAATTCTCTAAAAGTACCAATTAACTGAGAAAAATTTGCTAGAATTCACCCTGTGCGCGCGTTTTCTGTTTTAGGCTCAATTTCCCCCATTCTCTCAGGACCAGTCGTGTTCCTCATCGAGAAGGGACTTTTCAAGAGGGGTGGGGGGAGGGTGAGCGCGGTTTTATTTCCCAAAACAGCCGCTGGTAACCGCGTCTACTACTGTTTTACCTTTGTTTCTCTCTCTTTAATTCCTCATTCCTTACTTCACTTTTCGGGCATGGATAGAGTGTTAATAAACTTACCTAAGTTCCACATCATCAGCCATCATTCTGTCATAATTTCGTAACTTTTCAAGAACTTCTTCATTTTCCTAATATGGATATAATTAAACCCTTAAAAAATTTTATCTCTAAGCGTGAGGAAACCTTACTGTAAATGTTTAAAATTTTCAAGGGATGCTAGAATGTTTGGAGGATAAACTGTCTTTAAATAGCCTGTTAAATAACGCAGTTCAGAACACGCCGCGAAATCGAAATTTAAATACTGTGATTAAGACAAGTTACCGTTATAAGCAATTGTAACGAGTTTTACATTTTAGTTGGAGTGGGTAATCATCTTCAAACTTTTTTCTCCTGTCCGCTCAAATGTAGCCTTCTAGACAACGGAAGGTATCTTGCTGCGTCTTCTTATTAGGTTAATTGAACCCAGGTTAATTTTTGACCACCCCTCACATGTGTTTTATTTTCTTATGGCTTCATGTTTCTTATTTTTTTTTTTTTTTACTATTTTCATTACTTTACCGTATAAAATGTATCTAGATGCCCCATATAGCGTAACTAAAGAATTGAATTGAATTGAATTAAGGCTTATCCTGTTCTACGGGTACTGGCTCATATCTCATAATGTCGTACTCGTTTAATTTTTCTTTGTAGGCACCTGAAAAAGGCATTAGGACTGGAAGCATGGGTGACGTCAGAGATAGCAACGGGATTCCCATATGGACAAACTTGAAGTTGAAGAGTGCTGATTTACGACATCAGACTCAACTGAAGAGGGTTTTTCCTTGAGTTCATCCGGCAATGCCAGGCCAGCAGAGCATTTTTAAAGTGTATCGTTTTCTCAGGATTTACCAGCAGACAACTTACCAAGTCACGTGGTAGATCACCAGCCCGACCCATTTTTCTCAGCTGTCGCACCTCGTGTAACATCTCTTCTTTCTCCGACTCAAGAGTTGCTAACCTTAACCTGAGTTACAACAAGTTCACCATGAGCTTAAATTACTATACAGTCAATCCCAAAGAAAAAAAATTAGTACAAACAGCTGAAATCAACTTGAAAGTAAAATGGAGGCTGAATTTCAACAGACTTACGCAAATACATATAAGGAACAGTTTTCTTGCCTTGTTTGTTGAAGTTCTTTAACTACATCACTATCGGTCTTGATATTTGTGGGAAATCTCTCCAAGATTGCAACCTGCAAACAAGAAAATTTGACCTTAACGCACTATAAATGAGAAACAATACGGATAAAATCAGTAAACGATAAAAGTTGTTTCCACAGTGTTGAAGCCTCAGAAAAAAAGCCACCAAATCCACTCTAAAGCCCTGTCTAAAGGGGAAATGTTTGGTGACCAAACACGATCAAACATGTTGAGTGGCCAAACGGTCTCTGTTTGTTCACCGTTCAAACGAACAAAATGTTTGACAATGTTTAACCAAATGTTTGTTGTCGTTCAAATTTTATCAAACACGATTAAACATGATCAAACAAGGTGTCCAAACGGGAAAATGTTTGGTCACCAGAACAATGTTTGATCGCTAAATATTACCCTTTTGGACAGGGCTTACGGATAGGACCCTGATAGTACGCGCTTACATAATAAGAAACGAACTCGTCAAAGTGACCATTTGTAAGATGACCAGACGGCGTTCAGTTTGTACACGCCTGGTATCATAAATTTCCGCGATTCTTTGGCCAAATAAAATAAAATGGATTGTTAAATATAACTCACTCGAAGTTCAATTAACTGAACACAGAACAAACGTCCAATTACAGACATCTTACAAAGATAATTTGTTGCTATTTTTCAACAATTATAATCGACTCATATTTGAGAAAAAAACTTATAAAATGTTATAAATGTTGTTGCGGGTAATAGTCAGGGAAGACCACCAGTGCTCATAAAATGGGGGTTACTGTACATGGCATTATGACTACCATGCTTAACTAGCCCCATTCAGCCAATGACAACGTGTTAGCCTTTTGGCGCAAAGTAAATTTAATGTCGTAATTTCTTGTCGTCCGTATAGGGCTAGATGTTTTCTGATCTGCTGTGCCATCAAACTAGTGCTATTTATTTATATATATACTTATTTATTGCTATTTATTTATTCATTGCTATTTACAACATCTTACTGTTTTTTTCTCAAAATTAATAACCTACCTTTTCCTCTAGCTCTTGCTGTTTCTTCATCAATTCGGTTTCTCTGTTGGCAGCTGCTTTTAAATACGTTTTGATATCTTTCAAAAGATTTGTCTAAATAAGATAAACGAGCGTCAGTTATTCCGTGACGAAAATCGAAGCAAATATATCACAGCTACTTGGCCGCTACCTGATGAAACCATTGATCATTTAATCCAATGTTTAAAGGAGCTCAGTCACGGCATTTTGGCTGCGTACAAAATTACCTTTAAATGAAAGGAAACCTGAAAATAGTAGTTTACTGAGATAGAAAAACACCAAAGAAATAATAATAAACCATAAAGGAACAAGGGTGGTTAAGGATGGAAAAGATTGACACGGATCACAAACGACGAACTTGAAACATTTAGGCTAAACTTTTCAAGATGCGCAAAGCGTGACGTAGCTCCTTTGAATGTTGTCTTCTAATGCTAATTAAAAGATGGTTAAGTTATGGAGCACACTTAAAGACCCTTACCTTTTTCTCTAATTCTGCTTCCAGTTTTTGCATCTTTTCCTCGTATATCTTTGGTAACACGACTGATTTCCATTCCTTACTGTCAAGCCCTTCCAAGTTTGAATCGGACAGTTTCTGCTGTAGCTTTAAAAAAATGAACGACAAAGTGTTTAAAAAGCTGTTTGAAAGTCTCCCCTCCCACCGTCACTTTACCTAATTAACGTGTCTGAGATTTTTACCTCTCATCGTGAGATATATATAAAAAATTAAAGTTCTTGCGTCCCAACGGGACATTTTTTAAAGTGACGTTTCAAATAGTTTTACTATTCTTCCTCAGGCTTATCTTGCACAAGTGATAAGTTATGCTAAACGTTAGTTACCTGTTCTAATTCTTTCACCAGCTCTTCTTTTCTTTGTTCCAGATTAGCGTTTGCTGTTTTTAGTTTTTCTACCTCCTCCATTTCCTGAGAAGAAAAAAACAAATCAAGTGGAATAACACACAGGCTGAAAAGGCGTACCATATGTTTAAGTAATCATAAACGCACAACTGATGACTGCAATGATTCCTACCTTTTTCAAATCTTTGAGTAGTTTTTCGTTTTCAGTCATCAGTTTGGCTGTGTTGCCTTGACCGCTAGCTCCGCGCATGGACTGGGTCTTGTCACTGGTCTTTGCTTTCTCTAATTCATGCTGGTATAAACAAGAACATTATATTCAAGTAAGGATTGAATCTGGAGACTAAAGAAATGAGCACAAAACATGGCTCAGGGAGGCAGGTCTTGTGAGTGTATAGCTCTACTCAATTACTCGTCCTCTTCTTATGGACGTGTTTACTTATGAGAGGTTACAATCGCAATGTTTATTTGTTTGCTTGGCTGTGAAAAGCAAGGGGATGTCCGATAAAAGAGAGTGTGTTGTCGGAGTTTCCGCTAAGACAAATAAGGATTCATTACCTGTTTTCTGAAAGTAACAAAAGCAATCATTAGAATATAATTTTGTTCAGAATATCTGCATCGGGCTTCCTCTCTTTCTTGTGTTTGACTTGCGAATGGGCCATTTCCGAGTTACCTTGTGCCTCTGTTTCACAACGAGTCTTGATGCAAAACCTTTCTAATGAAAATGAGTTTGATTTGCATGAAAATGAACCTGTAGACGGAACACAATTCCATATGAATGGTTTCACACAAAGACTCGTTTTGACACAGAGGCAAAAGGCAACACTGACCTACATTGGCCTACATTGACATTTGAATGGCATCTATAATAAACGTCGGACAACAAACGCTAATAACAACTACAGTACGCGACGAACCTTGAGTCGTTTGTTTTCTTTTAACACCTCGCCATACTGAGGTCCTCCTGCTCCAACAGTTTTCTTTAAGTGATCATTCTCTCCTTGAAGTCTTTCCACCACTCGCCTCATGGCTGCTATCACTCGCTCCAGGTCCTCTACACTCTGACCACCCATACCAGTACCCAGGCTCTTCTGATGAGATAAAATGGCAGTACCAAGAGGTTTCAGAAATGTTCTCACACAAGAGTTTGAGAAAACTGCCTTCATTTACACCATCATTTTCCAGCTTTGTATTACATTAAACCTGACGATGCATTCCAGTAGAAATTGATCGTCTAGACTAGTAAATTCAAGAGTCGCCAACGAACCATGAAAGTGAAGCCCGTGAAATTATCCAGAGAGTCGCGAACTTCAGTTAGTTGCAACAGGAGAAAGATATGCGACTATCCATTATTCTCTTAAGCAAGTTGCGATAAACGGTTTTTCCCCTCGTCAGCCCTCTGTTAGCAAAACGTTCCAAAAAGACATGGTGACTAAAGACCAAGAGTTTAAAATTTTCGCTCCTGCGTCTTATCACTTATGCACCAAATTTACAACGCGAGTGGTTAGAGGGTATAAGGCATGAAGTTTCTTGAAGTGTTTGGCAGCGTTGTATTCCTGTCTCTCGCTTGTGCAATCCCCAGCCTTTTGGCTCCTCACACTGGCGCTAGATCAAAGCGACAAGGATGTTGCCGCTTTCCCATGGGGACGGGATGCAGGACTATCGCAAGGTAACCAGCATGAAATTCGCCGGTACCCAATTAGGTGGTGGGAGACATTGTGAGTGTAAGAACATAACACAATGACTCCGACCAGGGTTCGAAGCCAGACAGCGTAATATGTTTTCCAGAGTACCATCTCGCTATCGCGCTTCTATAAAGTTCTCTTATTAGCTAAACACTCTTTAAATACGTTATGCGAATCCGAATAACTCACTTTTCGAGCTTTTTCTCTCTTTTTGCTTGCTTCCAGTTCCGCTTTTAAAATTTCCACGTACTCTTGCAAGTCTTCCACACGGGCCTGAAATAATAACCAGAGTACATTTACGCACCCAGACATAACACTAAAAGGGAGCAAAAAAAGGTTTGATACTGCCTATTAACTGAACAACATACAAGATTCTCATAGCATGCAGAGAAATGACGTGGATGTAGTTATTTCAAAATCCTACATTTTTGCCTTCCCACACGAAGTCAACAAAGCTTCCATTTTGAAAAGAGTTGTTGAAAACATACTTCGTCGGTAAAAATGACGCTCGGTTTAAATGGTTACGGCCGTCCGTTTTTTTACCTTGAGGCGAGGGTTTTCCTTTCTAGCTTGCTCGTAGTCGAAACGTAACTCCATATTTTCCTGCAAGTAAGAGAAATAAGTGATTGTTTCTTTTTTGGCAGATACATATTGGATTTCTGCTCTTGCAATCGATAACTTGTAGATGAAAAGCCTAAATGAATAACTGGCAATAACTGACTTCTGTTACAGGCCTTCAATCTCCTATTGTTAAACTCATGTGACAAGATTCTTTTTCATGAATTCAATGAAAAAGGAGTATTATTTTTATTCCATTGCTGCATTGTTTAGTTTTGGCAGGAAGGAAGCTGGTAACAACCACAATGAAATATCTCTTGTAACACGGTCGGTTTTGACCAAAATTACACTGTGACAAGTATCATTAGAAAGTTGTCTTGTAAACTGAAACAAGAAGAGAAGTTGTAATTGAACGGACATTCAAAATACTGCCATTAAAAATTAAAAATAAACCTCGACGAACCTCCTTAGCTTCCAAGAGCTGTTTCTGAAGGGATTGGTTTCTCTGATATAATTCACGATACATGTCAGCGTCTGCATGATCCACTGAACGCTGTTGTTGAAAAGAAGAGAGAGAGAGAGAGAGAG